CCTGCAAATTTCATGATTTCCTCCTTTTTGATTGCTGAGTAGTATTCCATTGTGTAAAAATACCACAATTTCTGTATCCATTCCTCTGTTGATGGACATCTGGGTTGTTTCCAGGTTCTGGCTATTACAAATAAAGCTAAAATAAATAAATAAATAAATAAATAGATAGATAGATAGATAGATAGATAGATAGATAGATAGATAGATAAATGAATGAATGAATGAATAAATAAATAAATAAATATGGCAGGAACTCAATGGCAGGCTTTTTGACCTCCCCAACCCCCAAGGGAGGAGCAGTCCTGCTAAGCCACAGAGAAGGACTTTGTAGCCAGTCCTGAAGATACCTGATAAAACAGAGGTCCTTCCCAAGCAGTGAACTTGGAAAGGGGAAGGGAGGAGATGAGGGAGGGAAGGTAGGATTGGGAGGGAATGAGAGAGCAGGATATAGCTGGGATACAGAGTTAATAAAATGTAACTAATAATAAAAATAAACATAAAAAGATTAAAAAAAAAGAAATGCTCAACTTCCTTAGTCATCAGGGAAATACAAATCAAAACATCCCTGAGATTTCACCTTACACCCATCAGAATGGCTAGATCAAAAACTCAAGTGACAATACATGATGCTGGAGAGGATGTTGAGAAAGGGGAACCCTCCTCCATTGCTGATGGGAATGTAAATTTGTACAACCACTTTGGAAATCAATCTGGCGCTTTCTCAGACAATTAGGAACAGCGCTTCCTCAAGATCCAGCTATACCACTCCTAGGCATATATCTAAACTATGCTCAAGTATACAACAAGGTCATTTGCTCAGCCATGTTTGTAGCAGCTTTATTCATAATAGCAGAATCTGGAAACAACCCAGATGCCTCTCAATTGAGGAATGGATACAGAAATTGTGGTACATTTACAAAATGGAAAACTACTCAGCAATTAAAAACAAGGAAATCATGAAATTTGTAGGCTAATGGTGGGATCTAGAAAAGATCGTCCTGTGTGAGGTATCCCAGAAACAGAAAGACACACACAGTATATACTCACTTATAAGTGGATAGTAGACCTATAATATAGGATAAACGTAATAAAATCTGTACACCTAAATAAGCTAAGCAAGAAGGAGGACCCAGGGTAAGATGATCAGTTCTTACTCAGAAAGAAAAACGGGGTGGACATTGGAAGAGGGAGAAAAGAGGAAACAGGACAGGGGTCTACCACAGAGGGCCTCTGAAAGACTCTACCCAGCAGTGTATCAAAGCAAATGCTGAGACTCATAACCAAACTTTGGGCAGAGTGCAGGGAAAGGGAAGCCTATGAAAGAAGGGGGAGATAGTAAGACATGGAGAGGACGGGAGCTCTACAAGGAGACAAACAGAACCAAGAAATAGAGGCCCAGGGGTATTTTCTGAGACTGATGCTCCAACTAAGTACCATGCATGGATATAACCTGGAACCCCTGCACAGATGCAGCCCAGGGCAGCTCAGTCTCCAAGTGAGTTTCCTAGTAATGGGAACAGGGGTTGTCTCTGACATGAACTCAGTGGCTGGCTCTTTGATCACCTCCCCCTGAAGGGGTAGCAGCCTTACCAGGCCACAGAAGAAGACAATGCAGCCAGTCCTGATGAGACCTGAAAGGCTAGTGTCATAGGGAAGGGGTGGAGGACCTCCCCTAAGAGTGGACTTGGGGAGGGGCATGGGAGGAGATGAGGGAGGGAGTGGGACTGGGATGGGTTGAGGGAGGGGGCTACAAGTGGGGATACGAAGTGAATAAAGTATAATTTATAAAAATATAAATAAATTAACAATAGTGAAAAAAAGCCTACAGAACACACCAATGACCAACACATAAAGATAATCCCTACTGTGTAATAGTGGCATTTTTATCTTGGGAGTAAGCAACAACTTTCTAATCGGACATGACATCCATTCAATAGGAGGGAATTCATGCCTGTACTAGCCAGATATCCATAGCTGGAAAGGTCAGAAAAGAATCTACTACTAATTTTTTCCTAACCATATTAATTGATAGAGTGTGTGTGTGTGTGTGTGTGTGTGTGTGTGTGTGTGTGTGTGTGTG